AAGCGCATGCTGAACATTTAATTTCAAGATAAATAAGGAGTTGCATGAAGATACACTGTGTGAGAAATGACTAAAGTGTGAAATTAAGTTTCATTACATGTTTCAAAGCAACATATTTCCAAAGAATAAAATAAATATAGATATTCAATTATTATAAATAATGTCAATTGTAATTGCACTGAAGCCAAAAGAAATTAAGAAAGAATTATAAAGTAAATTATAAAGAGATATTAAAGTGTGAAATTATAAAGTCAATAATCCGAAATCAATTATTATAAATTATAACTTAATTTTTATCAATTATTTATGAAATATGCTTCATGAAAATGCCTGAAATGTCTGTGTGTTTGATAAATATATTCAATCTAATTCACTTCATCTCTGATAACCTCATACACGGAGAAAGTTTCACTAAGGGAAGCAAAAAGTGACTTCATGTCTCAGTTTTCAACTCCTCCCCAACAGTAAATTGGTTACATCCAGCCTCAGCGGAAGTTTAACACACCTCGTATATACGGCAGAGGAAACAGAGAACTTTGTTTTAAGAGATAAAACATGAATATACAAAAAAAACTTTAACATGCATCAGAAAACAGAACATCAAAATATAGACAGAAAAAAACATCATAAAATTGCCAAACTTAATGGATGGAGAGCTGTGATGTGACGCCAACTGCTTTAACAACACAGACAGATACACACTCAAGCATATAGACACATCTCATTTTCAGAGCAGTGGGGAGGATAGGAAATTCAGAGATGATGACACTACGAGACCACAGATGCTATGCTTCACTGTAGTTTTGGGATGGGCTGGGTCTCAGCACTCTATTTTAAGATCGTCCTGACCTCAGAACCTAGTTTAAAAGCGCTGTGCAGAATTACATCAGACCAAAGTTGTTTTTTTTCAACCAAACATATTTGATTTGTCTAATGTCTAATTCCTAGAGTTATCTGAAATTGGCCTCTCTTTGCTTTCTCTTTCAGATTTGAACAAACTGATCACTTCCTCCTCCCTATTTTTTCCACAATCTCACAGGGAGAGCTGGGTGTCGGAAACAGAGAGGTCAACGGGATCATTAAGGGTTGTCAGGGTGTTTTGATCAAGTCAAACAGATGGAAAACATGAACATAGAAATGTCTGCTCATCAAAGACATGTTTAATTTAATATTTAATCATAATTTGATCACATATAATGTTAAATACATCTGGATGAAATGATCAAAGAAATTCAAGCATCTGGTTCTCTCTTGTGCAAATATTCCCTACAGTCATTCATGCAGCACTTCTCTTCACTGAGCTTTTGTCTAACTGTCCTGTTTAGAGGTGAGTGCAGAGAAAATCCTTCATTCATTTCTCTAGAAGCCTTTGAACGCTCCCACAAGAGCGCTAAATATTTACTCGAGGTGCCTCTGTTTGTTTAAAGTTGGGAGACACACCAGAGAAGCTGAAGGGGCCAATCGGGGGGGAACTTGAGACAAAACACCTCTTTGGTTGTGATGACTGCCAGACCACCAGGTTGGTCTCGCCTGTCTTCTTTTTGAGGGACGTCATCTCTTTGCCTCCTTTTGAGGGCATGAGGAAGTGTAGACAACAGGCCTGCATTAACACATCTCTCTCTTTTGAGGGAATAAGACTGGTTTTAAGATTATACATTTCACAATCCCGGTATGGATTCCACACAACATGAAGAGTAAATATTGCATACATCCAATTATCTTAGTCATACTGTAGATTCAGTAAGCTCTTAAAGTACTTAATTTAGATAGGGATATTTCAAACATTCCTGTGGGTCAAAGAGTTAGAACATGACGGAGTAGAATAGGAGTCTATTCATTAACTAAAATATCAGGACATCAAGTGCCTTGGACAAATTAAGTAAAGGAACAATTGGAATTAAGCTGTCAACACTTTTAAACTCAATCTAATTCTGAATCTAAGTCAACAACCAACAAAATTGACTTCAATTACTTTCTTAATACATATTCCTGGTCTTATAGATCTTTGGGGAGTGGCATATTTATTTTTGACAAGAATGGAAACAAGACTGTGAGGGATAGAAGTACAGTGTGTTCAACGGAGTGTACTGTTGTTTTACAACATGCCAATTGTTCAGCTGATGAAAAGTTTTTACAAAAAACTTTCAGTAGACAAAACCCCCTTAAAGGAGAACTCCAGCGCAAAATCAACCTTTGGTCTAATAAAACATTGGTACCTAGTCAACCGTTCTCTGAGATTTGTTTTCATGATAATCGAATGTAAAGAGTTTTATCTCTAAAAACTGTTTAGTGTATAACGCTAGTAATGGGGGCATTTAATAAGTAAAAAGAAATCGCTAGTTTATACCACTAACAAGGCTCAAAATAGTCCCACACTAACACAGTAACATAATGAGGGTCCCTACATGCAAAACGAAGCATTGAGAACTTTGTAAGTGTACAGACCGTTTAATAAGAAGATAAAGATAAAGACAGTCCACTTCGTGTATACAGACAGGAGCCATCTTTGGAAAACAGTCTCGACTAATCAAACCACGAACGCCATTCATGCAGTTCAGAAGTTCACTGAACTTCATACAGTTCAGCTCACTTAGCACGTCGTTCGTGGTTTGATTAGTCGAGACTGTTTTCCAAAGATGGCTCCTGTCTGTATACACAAAGTGGACTGTCTTTATCTTTATCTTCTTATTAAACGGTCTGTTTAATAACATTACATGTGATCTAGGAGTTTTATATGGTGCTTGCCATTGTAAAGACTGTAAATATATCCCTTACAGCTTCAATTTAATCAACGTAAAATTCAACATGGAGTTAACACTGACTAAAATCTATTATACATGATTCATCTGTGCATGTTATTCCACAGAAACTAGATTCCACAAAGCTAGCTCAGCTTTTGTATGAAACATCCATTGATTGATAAAAATCAATTCCTCTATCTCATTTAGAAATATGTCAGATAACAGAAGTTTAGCATTACCAAAATAATATAATGAATGTGAACAATAATGTTTACAATGTTTACAACTTTTTCTGTCAACTGAAAAATTCACACTACACAAATTCGTATCACATGTAGACGTGACCAATAGAAGATCGATAAGCCATGGCTTGAACTCTTGGCTGAATTAAAAGAACACACATTTTATTGCAGTAAAGTGGAGTAGATTGTATATTTTTACTTTTGGGATGCATTATTATTTGTTATATGTTGAATTTATGTTTATAAAAAAGATGCCAAAGAGTGTGACGTCATATCACAACTGTTAAAGTGCCCTTAGAAATTTTGCGTGCTCAACATCTAGTGTGACTGCAGCTTAAGAATTTTTTTTAAAGAAATTAATACTTTTATACAGTAAAGATGCAGTAAATTGATCATAAGTCACAGTAAAGACGTGACCATGGTTCTTTTGAACTTCAAATTCAGGAAAGAATCCTAAATTAAATTGATCAGTTTCCACACAAAAAAATTAAGCAGCACAACTGTTTTCAACATTGATAATAATAATTATTTATTGAGCACCAAATAAGCAGTTTTAGACTGATTTCTTAAGGATCATGTGACACTGAAAACTGGAGGTATGGCTGCTTAAAATTCAGCTTTGCCAACACAGGAATAAATTACATTTCAAAAGTTATTAACAAATAAAACAGATTTTTTACATTGTAAAAATATTTACTATACTTTTGATCAAATAAATGCAGCCTTGCTGAGCATAAGAGACTTGTTTCAAAAACATAAAGAAAATCCAAGCGACCACAAACTTTTGAAAGGTAGTGTTCTTAAGCCAGGTATACATCTGTGCTAATCATCTACAGAGTAACTAGAGCAAAGCGTGTCTAATACTCGGATAGTTTTCATGACAATCATGTTCCAAGTCCATGCATCAAGGTTTTCTGCCTGTTTTTATCTAGACTCTCAGACCTTACCAGTAACTGCTGAGTTCCCCACAATGGGACAGTTAATCAGAGACCAACACATATAGTGATTCAGCATCAACGGAAAACTGCTCCGTCCCTCACTGTTCTCAAATGTTTAACAGTGAGCTAATCAAATATTTAACAGACAACAACAATCTGGCAAATGAGAGAACAAGATGCTTTACTCAACGGTTTCAGTATGTTACAGTAATACACAGTGGTATTTACACAAGGCCCTTTGTACCACATTACAGTGATGTATCAGATGGTAATAGTATAGCCATGTATTTTGATATACCATGGTAATGATGAATGGCTGCCATATTAATATACCTGGGTATTTACAAAGAATACCATGATGCACAAACGGCAGTGGTTCATGTGGGTTGTCTACAAACCGGAAGGTTGGTGGTTCAATCCCCGGTTCCACCTGACCAAGTGTCGAGGTGTCCATGAGCAAGACACCTAACCCCAGCTGCTCCCGAGCTAGATGGCGCCTTGCATGGCTGACACCGCCGTCGGTGTATGAATGGGTGAATGTGAGGCAAAATGTAAAGCGCTTTGGTGGCCATTGGGTCTGTGAAAGCGCTACATAAAAATGCAGTCCATTTACCATTTTTTACCACAAAAAAAACAAAAAAAAAACAACATGGTATAACCATGTCATTATATAATGTTTAAAACAATGTGGTAGTACTTTAAGTACTTTTTTTATTGTCCTCATTAGTGAGAACTGCATGCAGAAAAATGACATTTCACATTGGAACAGTGGAGAGAGTGTTACATTGGAAAAATACCCAACTATAGAGTGATTAAAAACACATGATAAAAAGGCTCTTCTGTAGAAATAATTGCTTTTACAGTGTCTGTGAACATGTTGTTTCATGGATCAGCAGTTAATTTGATTTGTAGAGCCATTATTGAGGAATGTACTGAATTAATGCATTACAGTGTTTGGCCTTAAGAGCTGAGAATTACTGACTGACAATGACTTTAATGGGACTGACTTTGCTCAGTGGCAAGTCTTCTCAGAGCAGCTGACATGATGTTATTTGCTAGACTGAGTTGTCAGGGCTCCA